GCCTTTGCTGCATCACACAGATTACACTATTTATCTGGCCATGGTGCTTACCCTCTATAGGGAACTAGTGAAAAATGATGATAAGCTCTGCGACTGAATTTCTCTTCCTCTAAATGTTTTTGGAGGTTGATTTTACCTTTGTACTTAACCATTACCTATTCAAAGGGCCCCATTTAAGACTTACAAAGCATCTTTGAGAAGATGCCATGTGTTACCTGGGCCCATATTACCTGCTGTCTATCTGTGCTGGAAGTGTGTGAGTACTTGAGTGTAGTCATTCTCCACTCCACTAGAATGTGAGCTAGCAGAGGGCAGAACATATAGTCACTACTGTTATCTCAGTGCTACCAAAACTAAACCGTGCTAGTCATGTAGTTAGATGCTTAGTAAGGACTTGTTTAACTGAGTAACAGATTATAAGCACTGTGGCAACAAGCAACACACCCAATAACCATATGGCGGTATTTTGTGAATTAATTATTATCCTAAAGATCAAGAAATGCAAATGTTGATCTCCTGCCTCTAATGGCTGGACCCTGTTTCCAATCATTGGTCTCTCCTCTTTGTCAATCTGGTGCTCAGAGAAACTCTCATTAGGAAGTGTCTAATCTGTCTTGTCTTTGTATCTCCACTGCTACCCAGTCATGAGTTTCGACATGACTTTGTAGCTCTGGTGACCTATTGCAGTCCTAAAATGTTCCAAATTTAGTGATGTTCTAGTTGCTACATGGCAAATAACCTGTTGGTTATCTGTGTGAAGCAATACCACCTTAGTAGAAGAAAGTGGGTCAAGTACTTGCTTCTGAGAATGATTTTTATAAGGAAGTCTGTTTTTCACTCAAGATCAATCCCATATCTGGGAAGCTTATAAGTGAAATGGACTCAGAAGCTATTATCTTTGATCTATGGACTTTAGTCTCTATAGGAAAAAAAGCACTATGATTCATTATTACTCACCACTTGTTTGAGGTTGGGTATTTTTCATATAATTTCACAGCTGTAATCACCTCCTACATATAAGAAGATATGAGTAGAGAATTGAGAGTGAAGCATATATTTCTACTCTTGGACATAATGACTTACCATGAACTAAAATTGGAAGTAGTAAGAAAAATGATATAGTAAAATGGACAATAAAGTCAATATGTATAAAGATGTTCATAAGTATGTATTTTATAATAGTGTAAAACTGAAAATAATTTTTCATCAGTAGGAATGTGGTTAAATAAATCACTATATATTTAAATTATAGAAAGTGGTAATGCTGGGGGGAAGGGTATCCTGAACAAACTCCACAAATAGGTTTTATGGACCCCACTTCAAGACACCAATCACTGCAGATCCCATGATGCCATCACCACCGAAGGAATAATAAGACCGTTGAGAAGAATCACATGCACCCTCAAGACATACTGGTAAAAGAAAAAGAAGATAGGGCTATAGAGTAAGTCCACCCATGGTCTCATATGTGTGTACAAAAAAGAAAAACATATCTTCTGATCTGGCATATCTATTAATTAAAAAATAATAGGCCTGGAAGGAATAAAGTGATTAAAATGAAATAGTATTAGTGGATCTAAATTCACCAGTGTGGTTTTTGACATATCTTCTGTGTTTCTGATATTTTACTAAAAATAGTTATAGTTTTTTTGTGTAATTATAAATATCAAAATTATTGGAGAGAAGATGTGTGACAAAAGGAAATTGGAACATGGAGTGAGACAGAGATCAGAAGAAACAACTTACTCCAGGATAGTGAGTTCTGCGGTTATCACCATAACCTGTGATATTTTGTGAATGGTATATTTGGAGCTTGTACAGTGTGTGTGTGTGTGTGTGTGTGTGTGAGAGAGAGAGAGAGAGAGAGAGAGAGAGAGAGAGAGACTTACCTGGCTTTTGCAGTGTTTGTAGATTAGCATATATCTAAATATTTATACCTAACTGCTAATGTGTCTGTCTGTCTGTCTGTCTGTTTCTTGCTCTATCTATCTTTATTTATATATCCAACATATCTTCATCTGAATCACTCCCAAAGTTATGTCCTAGAGTGGAAGCTCCCTTAATCAAGGAACTTGATTAAAGGCTTTTAATAGAACTTTCATATGTATCTTCTTTTACAAGTATCAGGTAAGAAGATTTTTATATCTTTGGGAAAAATGAATTCATTTTTTACCCCTGTATGAATAGTAGAGCAGTTACATCTACCACAGAAGTCTTTCTTCAAGCTCTTGGCTTTTTTCACACTTGTTCATTCATCCATGATTCTTTTGGGTTCCCTCCCCCTGCATGCGACTCCAGGTACTGAAGTTAGGATCTGGCAGAGAGCAGACAAGGATCCTGCTATGAGTGAGAGATGGGAAGGGGAGTGACAAGCACTTAAAAACATACCAAGAAGTGAGAACAAACCACTGCATGGCAGTTAAACGAGATGAAGCTATAGGAAGTAACTGGGAACTCTTTTAAGAAAGCTAATTAAGTAAAACTTTGAGGAAGTGATTCGTAAACCAAAGCAGGCCACAAGATAACAAGTACTCAAACCTTTCTGTGTAGTTGGGATTTGCGGAGTTTGGGAAATAATAAGGGAGAGAAATCTGCAGGACTGGATCCTCTTTTGCCTAAGGACAAGGTAAGGATTTTAGATTTTATTTTAGGTTTGATGTGAAGCTATTGACTATGAGAATGACATCTGACTTAGGTTTATAAGAGAGTTCCTGAACTTCTGGACTGTAAATACACATGTCCTCTGTTGTCCGAAAATAGGCCTTTCCTTTTGGTGTATTTTTTTTTTTAAAGATTTATTTATTTGTGCATACAGAACTGGGGTACAGGCCAGAAGCTCAGGGGCGGTGAGAAGCTTCACCAGAGACAGAGTGGGGAACAGAACAGGCAGATGGACAATGTACACTGCACTGCTGAGGGGAGCAGCGGGCGGGTCAGGAGAGGTCTGCCGTGCCGAGGTCACCTCCGGGGCAGGCGGGAATCGAACTCATGCAGAAGTGGTTTCAGCCTCTTCTGTGCTTTAACCCGCCGCGCCACCAGGGAGGGCCACCTTTTTGGTGTAATTTGGCATTTTTTTTCACTTGGAAATGATATTGCCATTAATTCAAAGAGAAATATTTTCTAGTGTTCCCAGGCCAATAGAAACCAAAGAGGAATGTTCAACTTTTGGATTAATGGGGAGAACTGCATGCAAAGTAGAAGTATGGCAGGAGATGGAAGTAGATGCTGACTTAGCGTGGGGTGGTAGCTGTACATATAGATATAAATTTGCTAACATGTTAAATGAAGAGCTAGGAAAAGAGAGGAATAAGAAATGGTTCCCAGATTTGGAGCTTCAGTTACTGGTAGACATGTTTCTTGAGAGGGAGAAAAGCAAGTTGGACCAGGTTTGGGGGTGAATCAGTCTGTATTTTGAGTATATCTAGTTGTGATGTCCCTGGATATGTCAAGTAAGCAGTGTAAGATTTGCCAACGTAGAGTTCAGAAGGAAGTCAGGAACAGAAATTTTCACCTGGGGCTTTCTCCTTCCTAAGGGTGGTATTTAAAGCTCTCCAGGGTATTTTTGCCTTCTTAAAAAGAAGAGGATTGCAGCAATATTGATGGAGCTGGAGGGATCATGCTTAGTGAGATAAGCCAGAAAGAAAAGGAAAAATACCGGATGGTTTCACTCATAGCAGGAGTATAAAGGACCAGGGGAGAAAATAATAATAATAATAATAATGATGGACAGCTATATACCAGAGACATTTTACGGGGGTGGGCTGGGGATTGGGCTCAAAAGCGGTGCGCGGAGGGAAGCGCACTGGACTGTGATGATGGCACACAGGTGATTTGGTGATGGGATGCCCACGGGAATTGCAACTGAGATGGAAAAAGGCACAAAGTGATGTAAAAATAAACTATTATATTATTTTTAAAAAAGTCAGAAAAAATAAGAGTTCAAAGTCTCCAGAGCACACCCTGACAGAATCAGCTCACTAAGTAAGCTCCTAAGTGGCCTGCTTGTTTCTAAGCTTTGCCTTTGTGGAACCTGCTTTCACTGCTGAAGGTTGCTTCAACTTTTACTGGAGGGAGGACCGTGTGAACAAAAAAGAAACATTTGCTGGAGCTGTGATAGGACTGCTGCTCAATTTTTCAGATATTTTAATCTTCACTTCATCTAATGAAGCTAAAATTTGAGCTTAGAAGTGAGTGGATCTTTTTTTTTTTTTTTTAACAAGTTCTGGACCAATTTCAGGCAATCACCGAATAGACCATTTTAAGATAGATTCTGCAGTCAGTATGTTCTTATACTGTCATAAGCTAGTCATAATTAACATTGGTTTGTAAAATAAAGATAAGGCAACATAAGTTATAAGAAACCAAGTTTTTAGTGCTTTTTCAAAAGGTACCTACTGACTTTGTTGAGATACATATATGAAACTAAAAAAATCTCAAAATACGAAAATGTGTCTGTAGACACACTTTGGGTTTGACATTTAATGTTATTAGACTAATACATGGATGTTTTGCATTTTTTCTGTTTTATTAGTTATATTCCTTTTTTAAAAAAGATATTATTTATGCATACAAGAGCTGGGGTACAGGCCAGAGGTGTGGGGAGGTGAGAGGGTTCACCAGAGACAGAGCAGGCAGATCTACTGAAGTACACTGAAGGGAGCAGCAGGAAGACAGGAGGGGTCTGCTGGCAATGTGTGTCACCTCTCTGGGGCTTATGGGACCATGCTCAGTGCTTCATAGTGCTGTGTTTTAACCCTTTGTGCCACCAGGGAGTGCTACATCTTAACCTCCTTGCATCACCAGGGAGACACTATTTAGTTGTATTCCTAAACAAATTGAACTTGATATAATTTTATCTCTTAACCCCTTTCTTACCCAATGTCAAGCTCCTAGTATGGTATAGGGCAAAGCACAGACTTTTAACTTTTTTGCCGTTGAATTTGGAGTTCAAAAATATGATTGAGCCCTTATTTATCTTGACTGATTCTTCCTCATTTTAGATAAACTCTCCGGATGGCTCTGTGGTGAGTTCAGCATTACAAGGAAAGACCCACAGCCAGAGCCTGGCCAGATGGTCTCACAGTCTACGGGCCGGCAGGACTCCATGGACCCATGGGAGGGTGTCTGCAAGGACTCTGGTGATGCTGAGGTTTCACCCAGCCTCTCGTACAAGGACCACTGCCCTCACCCATCAGAGGCCAGGTTCAAGAGACCCAAAGCTGCCTGGATTAACCCGTACTATGTGCAGCAAGAGCTGCAAGACTGGCACCCCCATGTGCCAACAGCTGCGGATGCTGCCGATTCCTTGGACCCCTCACCGTCTCCCCTTGGCGACTCTGTGGTGAAGACACTATTGACAAAGGACACTGTGGGCTCCCTGGGCAGCTGCTTAGTCTGTGACTCCGCTGAAAAGAGCAGCCACTCTTTGACCTCAGTGGAAGAGCAGGCAGAACTTCTGGGACACTCTCCGCATGTTTCTCTGCTTGCCTGCCCCAAGATTTTCGCCACGTCCCCACATCCTGAGGCTGGCTGTGCTTTGCTTCAGCCCTCCCACCAGACAACTTCCTCAGATTACGGTAACTTTAGTCAAGAACTTCCTTCTTTCTGGTTGATTCATAGCTTGCTTCTTTGTCCTATCTAGAGTTTTCTTTACGAAGAAAAGAAGATCCACTTCTGGTCCCCTTAGCCCAGAAGCCAGTGCATTCACTAGCTCATTTGATATCCTCAGGCCAAACACCTAGACAGTCATAACAGGTGAAACCAAGTATTTCCTTTTGCTTTAGACAGCATGGAAATCTCTTCTTAGTCCAGTTAATTGATTATCCTTTCGGCGTGGTGCCTTTGCGCTGGTATCTACCTTCAGAATTTCCAGTTCATTAAATTTCTTCAATGGCTCATTGGAAGGACTGTCATTTCAACGAGGTGGTGGAACAGGGGTCCAGGCAAGTCAGGGAGCTCCATTTTATAGCAGAGCTACCAGTCAAGGATGAACACACCTCTTCTGCTATATTAACTATACATGCATGTCTAAAAAACTAAGATTTAAAATAGCAACCACAGCTCCTTCAAAGACTGCACAAAACTTTCCTTTGTTAAACAAGAACTCTCATTATTACAAGGGAATACCCATATTCCTAAAATTCTAAAATTCCTAAAATGATATAATCTGTGGAAAATGCCACTCAGGAGTCAAAAATATGGATATTATAAATGGCAAATATTAATTATATTTTATTAATTAGCTGCACTTATTTCTCTTTGTTAGACACCTAATTTAAATAATCAATGAGAATTTCCTTTCAAAACAATTTGAAAAATTGTCCTTACCCCCGTCTCTAATTCTGTATGGCTGTGTGTTTATTCCTCACTAGCAGGAACCTACTACCCCCTTTCCTAAATTTGAGGTTTATTGAAAACTTTTGAAAATCCAGGGTAATCACAGTCTTTAACGCATCAGTTAACAGGTTTTAGAAAATCTTTTGTGGGACAATTTTGAGATAGGAACCAAATTTTAGCAAAATGACACACTCTGATTATAGTATGTAGTCTCTTTTTCTTCACTTACCCAGACAGTTCTCAGGAAAATAGACTTTCAAATTAATGGTTACTAAGTAATAACCTGGTCTTGTACTTTACTGTCTCACAGAATGAGAGTTGGGAGAACAGAAAACACCCTCACCCCACAAACCACCACACTGACAAGTCATGAAGTGACTGAAGATGATCTTTAGGACCACCTAAGATTCCCCTGCTTGAAGTCTTTTGTTGCATAACTGTCCAGGAGATAGTCCTACAATTGAAAATTAATCTGTAGCTTTGCCTTTCTTTTAGAAAGAGAACAGGAACCCCAACCCTAAATACTTTCAAAAACCACTTGGTTTAAGAGAACATCTCTTAAACTTGACAAGGGGAAGTATCCATGGGATTAAGAACAAGAAGTCCTAAGTGATCTGGCTTAGGCTTTCTGTAGCGTGGGCCTGCACAGAGAGGGCAGTCTGTGCCACTAAGATATGGGGTTTTCCGAAGATTGCTGCACCTCAAATTTAGCACCAGGACTTTCCTTTTCTAGATAGTATGGCAGGGAAAAATCACCTGAGACTGTTAGCATTCCTGGAGACTACAAGAAACAATTCCACAAATGTAAAAAATGTAGACAAAGTAAACCAAAGCAAACCCTAGAAATTTGAGGGCAACATTACCAGTCTGCAGAAGGGCTCCAGCAGGGCAAGGTGGGAGTTGGCTGGCAAATGGCTGAGGACGGTCAGTGGTCTGGGGTAGATGATTGGTATTTGGCATCTGAATGCTGTTTGGCAACCTACATCCATGCGGTATGAGCTATATGCCTAAATCCTATATGCAGTGCTGCAAACTAGAGATGCTTTGATTTAAAAACTTTAGAAAAATTAATAGCAACTAAAAAGAAACAGAATTTCATAGGTTTTGCATAGGGCTGATACATTTACATGACACAAAACTCATTCTTTATTTTCTCCAGTCTTTATTTTCTCCATTTTAAGAGAGGAGGAATTTTGAAGTAGTAGCACACTGTATTGACAGCTGGGACTGGAATGGACTTCGCTGTGCTTATTCCTCTGTACCCAGGGTTTGAAAACTATGACTTGTGGCTAGCCTTCTCCTCTTACAAATAAAGGTTTGTTTAGTCAATGGCTTTCATGTACAGTGCCAAAATGGCAAATATCTTCTCTGCGGTCTCTTCTTGACTTTGACTTAAGGAAGATTTTTTAAAAAAGATTTATTTATTTTTGAATACAGAACTGGAGTATAGGTCAGAGGTGCAGGGGTGATGAGAGGATTAATCAGAGACTGAGTGGGAAACAGAACAGGCTGACTGATGAAGTACACTGCTGAGGGGAGCAGCGGGTGGGTCAGGAGAGGTCTGCCATGCCATGTGGTCCCCGGCGGGTCAGGAGAGGTCTGCAGCGCCATGTGGGTCACCTCCGGGGTGGGGATCAAACTCATGCTGAAGTGGCTTTAGCTTCTTAGTGCTGTGCTTTAACCCGCTGCTCCACCATGGAGAGCCTGGAAGATGGTTTTGAAGCAACACTGACCTCTTTCAGAAAGATTTAGTTTCTGTAACAGGAAGCTTTGGGTTAATTGCAGTGAAGTGTAGAAATGATACCATGATTCTCCGGCTCTCTTCTAGGCTGTTCCTTCTTTCCTTTTTTAATCTTCTTCATGTATTTTCCATGATACTCTTCTGTTTACATCATTAGTCTCTTCCATTTCAGTGTCTCACCCAAGTCTCCTGAGGATTCCTCTCAAGTTAATAGCTATAGCCTTTTGCAGATATGTTCCCCACTTAGACAATGCCTGTGAGAACTTTCACTAGAGGGGCCTTTATTTTTCTTTAATCCTAATTTATTCTAGAACTGAATCCTAATTTATTCTAGAACTGTGGTGGTTGTGTGTTGTTTTATTTTTATAACACTTGAAAGTCACTTTCTAGAACTGTTTTGTTTTCTTTGATAATTCTTGAACTTTTCCACTTCTATTTTTAATAATTTGCTGTGTTGACAGATGCCACTCAAGTCTGTGGAAAAAACATTTCTTTGAATTCCTTCTCATCGGAGGCATTTGTGCTACCTGTTGATGTAGAAAAGGTAAATTTACATTTATTTTTTTCTTTTTAAAAACCACAGAAAGTATTTAACTCCTTAGATAGTGTGGTTCTGGCTCATATCTATAGACTTCACTTAATGAGGCAAATAGATTTCATTTCAGCCTTTGATTGGGAAAGGCTGCCAGAAACACAAATGGAGAAGCACCTGTGACCCACTGGGGTTTTCTCTGATAATGAATAATGTCTGCATAGGGTCAGCCTCAGTTTCATATCAAGAAATTCAGTGAGGGTTTTCTGAGGGTTGTAGATAGCCATCTGTCTCTGGAAGATCTGGGCGCTAAATCTTATGTCTCTGGAAGCCATTGGCCTTCCATTGTATGACGAGGATAATTCCAATCACTTCATATTTCCACCTCTATGTATTAACTCCACCTAAATACAGTATCTTGATTTTTTTTTTCCCATCTACTACACCCACAATAATAAAATGTTGACTATGCTTGTAATTTAACTAACTTTTTTTTCTCTGCAGGAAAATGCACACTTTTATGTTGCAGATATGCTTATATCAACTATGGAGAAAATGAAGTATAATATCCTGAGCCAGCAGCACACAGAGAACTGGAGTATGGAAGAAGCCATTGGGCCACTTGGGAATGATCAGGCTGACTCTGAAGTGACCTTTTCTACCAACTTAAAGCAAGAATCCGGGTCTTCTGCTTCTTCAGACAGTGGCTATGAAAGCAAGTGGGACAAGGCTTTACAAGAAAGCTTTATGCTGTATTCTCAACATACAATTCTTCTGCTCTGTCATCCCCAAGCATATCTTTAAATTCTCTGTCTAAAACTTCTTGAGTAAGCTAGATGATTACCTCCCCGCTTCTGCCATTTTGACTTTGGATTGGTTATTATGTTCATTCAGTTGCCAAATGGGTGAGCTGTTTTTTTTCTTGGACTTCATCATACTTTTCTTTTGGGCAGTGACTGGTGTTTTTCCTTTTCATTCACAAGGCAGCTACGCTCATCACTGTACCACCACGGCCCCACTTTGGTGGGGCCTGTGCCACAGTGCCCCTTAGCTCTTCCTAACCATGGCTTCTTTGTCCGTGGTATCCTCTTTCACTTGTTCAGCATGATGAGCCTATGAAGTACTGGGCACCAGTAATAGCCCTTATCTCCAGGATCTTTGGTGCTGGAGTCAAGGTCAAGAAGGCAGTGGCAGGGGCCACTGAGGGGCAGCAGCCTTATTCTGGGATCCAGGAGAGCAGGGCATCCTCACTGAGAGGAGGGGTTAGGGTTTGTCATTTTCTGGCAATTTCCTGAATGAGGTTCTGGCTTATGTCCTGTATTCTTTCTCTGTGTTCACCTGCTAGAGAGTATATCCATTGAACACCTGTCCATCTTTCCCTCTCAGTTGGTATCTCCTTAATTCTTTCCAGCCCAGTATCTCTGTTCTGTGTTTACACCATAAGGTTCAGGGCCTGTTGAACTTGCCCACCTGGTCTGCCCCCCAGGATCACTAACAACATGTTTAGACTAGATGGATACAT